CCAGGCGCGCAGAGCTGCGGCCCCAGCCGGGACACGCACAGCTACCCAGCCCTGCTCCATGGGAGGGGGGCTCCCTAAGAACTTTCTGTCACTATTTAAAATTTTCAAAAGTTTTGGCTACTGCACTCAAGCTTGGCCAGGCCAGAGCACACATCACAACAGACACAGAAAGAAAAGCTAAATAAAATAATAAAAAACGGCCAGGCGCGCAGAGCTGCGGCCCCAGCCGGGACACGCACAGCTACCCAGCCCTGCTCCATGGGAGGGGGGCTCCCTAAGAACTTTCTGTCACTATTTAAAATTTTCAAAAGTTTTGGCTACTGCACTCAAGCTTGGCCAGGCCAGAGCACACATCACAACAGACACAGAAAGAAAAGCTAAATAAAATAATAAAAAACGGTTCCTCAACATGTTCAAACCCCTCCACCAAAGACACTTGAAATACAAAACCACACAGACCCAGATACCTGTACAAGGTGTCCCAGCTATGAGTCGCCCCGTATACATCTGTGCCACACTAAAGTCGTTGACACTTGTAGGAACCGATGTTATAAGTCTTCCCATTCCCCGCTGTTAAGTCATGCAAAAACAAAACAAAACCAATTTGCGGAAATGAAAATTTCCCCGCTTTAAGTTGTTTCGCTATAAGTCCAAGGTTTTTGGAACATATCTTGGACTTACAGCGTGGACGGCTTGTACAGGAGAGCCCAAGACATTCCGAGCTACAGAATTACAGATCCACAGTGAGTCTTTCATATATTGGGCCCACTATATGCCCACTTCACCAAACACAAATCCCACTCCTGCCAAGCAATACACAAATATATGAATTAATGAATACTATCTACATATTAATAAAGCACACAGTAAGTACCACATGTCAAAAAATCTCTACAAAAAGGTGTGGCTTTGAGGAAAGTGGTTTAATCAGTTCTATGACTTGTTTGAGTTTTTATTTCTTCTTTTTGAAAAAAAGATGTCCTTGTTTGGTCATGTATATTTTGGTAGCTTTTTATTAACATTTGAAAAAGGCTGTGTGGGGGAAGGAAAGCACAGATACTGGCAGAAAATAAAAGGAGAGACAATCCTCCCTCCTAAGAATTACTGAAAAACTTGAAATAATTGATGCCAATTAAAGTGTTTTTTGTTTCACTTCATTTTTAAATAAGTGAAATGCCTCTTCTAATTTCACAAGATACTCATTACAAAACTTAATAAACATGAATCAAATTTTTGAGACATGCTAACTTTTGGGTGAAGTCTATTTTAATATCCTATAACCGTAGCTGTCTATTTTACCAGGTGAATGTATAGATCTTTATAGTGAATGCTGTCAATTTTTGAATCTTTATGTATCACCATCTCTAAGGAAAAGACAATTAACTCAAACTCATTCCTAGACAATTTGATTACACTTGATCAGAAGTGCTGAAACAATTTTTACTGTGGGGATACTGAAAGCAGAAACCATGTATTTGAGCTAATTTAAGCTATCATGCGTGGCAGCACCCCCAGCAGCTCTAGTTCCAACACCTACGGATGTTAAATTTAGCTTAATTGACTAGTAGATTAGTCGATAAGCAAGGGAGCAGCAGCAGGGTTAGCTCACAGCCCCAGCAGCTAATCCTGCTGTAGCTTTGCCTTTTAAGTGTATTAAGAGCTAGCAGGCTTTTACTACATTTAAAAAGCAGAAGTGCAGCAGGGGGATCTGGCGTGAGATAGCTGATTCATGGCTCGCACTAGGTCTTCCCCACCCCCTGCTGCGCTTCTGCTTTTTAAATGTATTAAAGAGTTGTTAGGTACTTAATACATTAAAAAGCAGAGGCACAGCGTCTGGGACCGGGCGTGAGCCAGGAATCAAATAATTCCCGGTTTGTGCCCGGACCCCACTACCCTGCCCCTCACAAAAACGATGCTGGGGGAACCGGCTTTTAAGACAGCTCCCCTCAGCACCAGCTCCTGCTTCCCGCCCCTCACTCCCTTGCTGCCTCAATCAGGAGGAGCAATCAGGGGGAACAATTAGTTAAAAGACTAGTCTACTAGTCACTTACATTCCTAGCAACACCTATGCAGCAGATATGAATTTAGCCCACTCTTCTTCTTTCTGAACTGGCAGGTCAAGAAAGCAAATATTGTATCAAGACTTTTAGATTAACAGAATGGAGTGTGTCATAGACAGAAGTGCTGTAAGATGCTCAAGCCTCTTTCACAGTAATGTTAATCCAAGAAAGATTCTGCTGAGCTGCATCCATTGGTCTTTGAATCTAAGGCAGGGGAGGGGAACCTTTTTTGGGTTAGGGGCCACTTCACTTACTCACCAAAACATCA